TTGTTTGTTTGTTTTTTTTTTTTTTAGGTTAATTTAAAAAAAATGTTGTTAACATGCAATAAAACATTTTTTTTTTTTTTTAAACCAACAAATTTAATGACATGAATTTATCTTTTTAAATTTATCCAATTTTACATTTGTATATTTTTTTTTTTTTTTTTTTATGTTAATTGGGTCAATTTATCTCTCTTGTTAATATTTTATTTAAATTTTATTTCTGATTTTATTTATTAAACTAAATTGAAATTTTTTAGGTAAAAAGGAAATTTAAAAGGGAAAAAGAAAATTTAAACTTTCTCAAGATTTAACTAACATGACGTTTTAAAAATCTGATTTTAATGTCAATTAATTGTTTTTATTTAAAATAAATTGATTAAAAGGTAAAAAAACTTTTTACTGTGTTCTAAAAACCTTAATCATATTTTATTAATTTATTTTTTTTTTTTTTTTCCATGTGTTAAATTTCTTCTTTACATAAAAAAAATTATGGAATTAAAATTGAAATAATATTATTTATTGGGAGTAAAAAAAAAATCAAAAAGCGGAACAAATAATGGGCGTCTTACACAGAAAAAAATTTTCTTAAGTCATTCAAATACAAAATTTTTATTTAAATTGTTTAAAAAAAAAAAAAAATTTAATATTTGTTTGGAGTCTTATTTTATATAATGGATACTAAAAGGTACGATTAATAATTTTTTTAAATTAAATTTAAATTTAAATTTTAATTTAATTTTTTTTTTTTTTTTTTTTTAATTTCAGGTTTAAAGTTTCTACAGGCCAAAAAAAAGGAAAAATAACAAAAGATGATGAAAATCCAATTGTTATAAATGATTTCCATGTTTTTTCTCCATTGATTTTACTAAGGGTAAGTGAAGAAAATTTTAATTTTTTCCTTTTTTTAACTTTTTTTAATGTGGAAAATATTTGTTTAAATTATACAAATATGGATGATTTTCGATGCGTACATATTTGAACAAAAAGAAAAAAAAAAAAAAATGAGTAAAAATTAAATTGCATTGTCATTTTGTAAAAATAATGAGTCAGTTTTATAATATCACATGTAGGTTGAAAAACCAGGGTCAACTCCAATCTCTCTCTCTCTCTCTC